AGTTGTTATGTAAAAACATGGACTTGTTTAGACGAGGTCTCGTATAGCCAAATTACAGTCACTTTATAATTGAAAACTAGTGAACCGAGCAGTATGTAGTAGATGTTCGGCTTTCAATTGTGGCCCATAGATCGACTCGAAAAAACACAAAAAATTAAGTTTTCGGTCCACTTCATCTCAATATTATAATCTGATCATCACCGAAAATTATAGGCGTTGTCCTTTACAATACTTGGATCCTCATGGAAATTTTCGCCCTCTAGGGTGGTAACGGGCTACTAACTAATATATGAATACGTAAACACCTGTAAATATTTAAGTGTAACTCCCACAAACGAGTAAATACGACAATATTGGTATTAATTTAAAGGTCAGCAACTCCTCTTGGATATACTAACAACGTTTAAAGTGTTATAAAACTATCCATTTTGATACGATTTGATAAACGAAACCCGGATATAGGGTGCATGATGTTGTTTTGGCGATTCCATATAGTAAATATTCAAATAAATAGCCGCAAATGGGTATTTACCCGATATTTACGGGTTATTTACAAGGGAATACATTGCAAATTTAGTCAAATTTTTAATATTTTTCAAAAAATGTATGTAACTACTAGCCTTCGCATAAAAACTTTCAAAATTTTTTTTCATAAAACACAGTAAATTAATGTCCGTTCACATTTTTGGGCACAACTGTATGTATTTTGAAAATATGCCTAATAATTTATTCAAAACCCTAAACTACTTATAATATATACATGCATATGTATGTATTTCTACATACATAGGTGCTTGCGCCAAACGTGACCCATAAACATTATTCCTCTGCTTAATTATATTTTAATTTTATTCTGAGATTCTCTGTCTTTTAATTATAATTTCATCAAATTATCAAAATTTGTTTTTTTTTCATTTTTTAATACGACAACGCCTTAAAAATTCTGGCCCCGAGCCAAAGGTCAAATTCGGTGCACAGAGTATAAGAGAGCCGGAGAACGTGAACGTTTCGAGTATTAGCAACTAAATTTAGTTATTGCATCATTGTGCGATGTGGTCGGTTCTCGCTGACTTCTTTCTTGTTTGCAGCAATTAAAGTTTTCTGCTTCCAGCAGTTAAGTCGTTAAAAAATTGGTGGTACCCCACTAACGTCATCATCAGCGTAACTCCACATTTTGAATCTGTGAAAAAGACTACAACAAAAGAAACACGCGTAAATATTTTGCATGTTTTCCAACTTATCCGCATTGTTTTAGTTGCCTTGTTGTTGGTGTTCTTGTTCTTCTCAGTCAGTGGCCGGCCATAGCCATCATTCATCTCCAATGACCAACAACGACAGCAACAATGAAATACTATCTGTTTTTTTTTTTTTTTTTTAATATGACATAGTCATCATTGCCATGGGTGTAGTATCGCCAACGCCAACAATGATTTTCTGTCGTTGATGTAGCGGTGACGGTGGTGATGATGGCGGCGGTGGCATCACTGTAACGAATATTATGGACATTCAAGGACATCATTGCTGCTTGTGGAACGCAGTGATTTCATTTTAAGATTGTGAGAGATTGAAATGTAACATCGTTACAGGCAGCCAGCCAGTCAGTCATAAGCTAGCCAGCCAGGCAGTCAGTACAATGCCAACAATAACAATCAAATCGAAAAGTAATAATATATGCGGCATCCATCCATCCATTTATATGATTTATTCTTCTTAGCATTCATCCATGTGTACAACTACCCATCCATCCATACATCCATCAGTCTGTCTGTCTGTGTATCCACTTCGTACACCTATCATTTCCATTGATTTTCCACAATTGTTTCATTTTCATGAGTATGTTTTTCTTTTATATACATTTTTCTAGATTTGTGTTCTGGCCAGATCTCTTCCTCTGTTCATCTTTTACTTTACCATTCCACCAATGCATCTCAATTTCATCATTGGCCTTGAAAGGTCCTTTCATATAGAAAATAATAATAAAAACACTGTATAAAAGGACGCAAACACTGTGGATGATGAAAATCCTTTTAATTTAGAAAATATCCTTTCTAAGCAGAAAACTTTTTTTCTTGGTTTTTAATGAAAACGTCTGACAAACAAAATTTGGGAACGAAATAAAGTAGAGCGGCTAAATGAGGCTTATCGGTGGCGAAAGCTGATTAAGATTTTAAATGATGGCGGCTCAAGTAGGATATAACAGGAATTTCATCGTTTAGCATGAATGGTCAAATGGAGAGGACGCAAGAGGCTTTTTGATTTAGATTATGATTGTTTAAAATTATATTTTTGCTTCAAATAAAAAAAAATATAGAAAACCAGGATGACGTCTAGAAGAGCAGAAGGATATATCTCCAGAATACCAGATCTGATTATTTAAAGACATACCCTAAGAAATAGCTTAATGTTTTCTTTATACTCAATCCGAAGAAAGTCTATATAGAAAACCGGAACATAGTATTTATAGACGTCTCCAGATATAGAATAGAGCCTCGAGATGATCTTAAATTAAATTTTATTGCTGTCCAGAAAAGAAACTTTAAGGTTATGTAAGTTATTCCTTCAGGACATCTGGAAGGGATTCTTTAGATCATCATAAATAAGAATCTTTAGTCGACAAGAAAAGAGTCGTTATAGAGAATCGAGTTTTTTTTAGCAATTGAAATACATGAAAGAAAATTCATTATGTGTTGTCCGTTTCTGACTCCTCTGTGTCCAATTTCCAATTGTTGCCCAACAATTGGAAATTGGACACAGAGGAGTCAGAAACGGACAACACATAATGAATTTTCTTTCATGTATTTCAATACAAGTAAGGTATTGTGCCGTCAATTTGTGTCCAGTAGAAATTAATGCGTTGGCACCATCCTGGTCTTAGCTGTGCTAATACTACTCGTGTCTGTGTCTAAGCAGCTGCTTCCCCTCTGTTGCTATGGATGGTGGATGACCTCCAATATATCGTTCATGCGATATTGTTCTGATTTCCGGATTGTACCTTGGACCTCCCTCTCTCTATAGAGATCAGGCATATCTCTACTGACGTGCCTGGGAGGGTGAAGCCTGTCAATAAGGATATGGCAGAGGTGTTCCCGATGATAACACCCAAACAGGTACTACATCCACAACCTTTGATTGTGCCGATGAACGCGTATAATATTCGGCTCCACATTAAAATGGTTCACTGGTGACCAACTGAGTTGTCGAACGTTACACCCAAAATCTTGGAGTAGTTGGTGGTCGGAATGTGCTCTTCATCGACCACTATGTCCATGGGGATATTTATTTCAGCCGTCCAAGTGGTGAAGATTGTAGCTGTGGAGTTAATGGCGGATATTTTCACATTCGTCAGATGGAAGAAACTCCCAAGAGTAACTATCTAGGTGGTGCCCGGTGGTTGTGGAGAATCAGAAAGGTAAAGGTTGAACAGTTCCGGAGTGATTACCATACTTTGCGGAACTCCCTTCACTCTATGGATCTTTGACTTCCCGAAAATGCATAGCAGCCCTTCATATATCGAAGACCTTCGATGACCATGACTTTTCGGTTGCACGGGCTGGTAGTAGGGGAGAGGTAGTTTTTAAAAATTATGACATGCAGAGTGTCTGTATAGATGACCAGATGGAGCTTCTTATATACAACCTAAGAACATTTTTATAGAGGATATTAATGTTTTCTTTACAATCGACTGGAATCCAGTCTGCAGAATATCATATAGACTTAATTAGAAAACGAAGGAGGTTATTGGTAGACTTTTAAAATTATCAGAATATGGATTAAAAAAATATCAGATAACAAAGAGATGAAGAATGTCTCTTCAGACTATAGGAAGGGAACCTGAAAGGAACTGGTTTTCCTTTTCTTTGCAACTTTGATCTTGTAGCTCATCTCGAAAGAGAAATAAACAGAAACATTTACACAAATGATTTTTCTGGGATTTGCCATATGTTTTGATATAAATTTCCATTGAAATGTTGGTAGCACTGCTGATTTTTACCTAAAATATGGCAAGTCAATTTAGAGCATGTAAGAAAATTTGAGTATGACGCTGAGCAAAAATAAATAAAATCTATTCTAGCGTCAAGTCGCTAGACTCGAACTCAGTCGTCGGGATTTCCCGTCGTCAATAAGAAACACACGGTAAACGACGGTCGCTGACTCTGACTCTCTGGTTGTGTTTAGAGTCTAAGATTGCACACATGATGCAATAATAACGGTATGTATCAAAACAAAAACATTTGTTTTTGTCTCGACCATCTGTCAAAATTTTCCATATAATATTTCACATGGTTGGCAACATTCCACATTGAATTCAAGTAGAAATTACGCACTTTGACAGTTAATCAAGTCATCAGATGCGCTAAATGGACTACCTATTTATTGTGCCATGGTTGCACAGTATGTTGTTGTATACCATGTAGGTTGTATGAAAAAAAAAGTCCCGTACATTCTGGCGTAATGACAAATGTTCGAACTTTGAGATGTTTGAATTAAATTCGTAGATACAATTTCGCAATAATTTGCCTGATGAATCACATAACCCACGGCGAAACGCGTCGCATATTGGTGGGGATGTAGCACCTCTCTGGCTTTCCTTTTCATTGCATCTTCGATCATGTAGCTTATCTCGAAAGAGAATTAAATAAAAATAATTATTTTTATACACCAAGAGTATTTTTGACAACGAGACATGAATCTTTTTTTCGCCTCTAAAGAACAGAGGGTAATATATATGGAAGGAGTCTTTATTGACGACCCGAGTGTGTCCTTATTATAAGCCTTACGGTAATATTCATAGTTGACTAGGCTCGATTTTTCCGATGATCCGAAATGGAGTAGTTATTTTGGGTATTCTTTATATTCGGCCAACATGCCATGAAGTGAAATATTTGTGAGTTAATTTAAGTAAACTCCTCCTTTGGAGTTTTAAATTCTAGTTTCATAATATATAAAAAATAGTTTATCTGGTTATGTAATTAATTTTTATGTTTTACTCTTTAATTTTAGAAATGGAAATCATTCCTGAAGGCAGACACTTCCGTTTGGTGCAAGAATCAGAGCTTCCCGAAATATTGAAGTATTTAGAACGCTTTCTGCCGGAATCACTAAAGGTAAATTGTTTTGCTTTCACTTTTTTCTTTTTTTGTTTATTTCTGATGCTATGGGTAAAGTTTTTCCAAAAGTTGGTAACTATTTTGATTTGTTGCCACGCACAGACTAGATTAATATTGCACTGTGTATAATCGTGGCTATAATACACTAATTAACATTAGGGGGCTTCACCTATTAAAAGTTGTATTAAAGTTTCAATAGTCTACTAGGACATGTAATTCTATACCAGTTTAATTTAATATATTTCCTGAATTTAAAATAAAAATGTAAAAATTTCTCACATGTTTTGCTTCTTCAATTTTTAAAACGTGAATACCCCTAATATAAACATCCATCATATACGATTATACATACACTTTATATACTTGTTGAAGTCTTCGATGGTAAATTCATTTCAACGATAAAGTGAACACACAATGTGTGCCAGAATATGATTAATTCGAATACTTTTTTTGGCTTTTGATATTTGCAGCAAAAAGAAAAACAGAAAAAAGTTCTATGATTATACTTTTATATTATTTTTGTTTTCGTATTTGACTTTGTGCGTTGATATTTGTAACAACAACAAAAATAAAATGAAGGTGGAAGAAAGTTAAGCTCGAAATAGAATTCAAATAAAATGTGGAAAAAATTAATGATGACAGAGAACAAATGGCCCCATGATATTTAGCTACATTATGCTGACAAAAATCAATATTACATGTGATGAACATTGAACTTGAGAATATAATATGATTTTTGATTGGAAAATAATTTTATAGTATTAAAGCAGGTTAGTTGGCTCAAAACTAATTTGAGGTAGAATATCAGATTTATTCAGAAGCTGATATGATGCAGATCTAAAAACAAATTAAAAGCGAGAGAATAAATTTACTCAGTTTAAACACTCCGTTATAGCACGAATGGTCCTAATGTGATCTGGTAGGCGAAGAAAAATTTAAGTTCTGGTTCTTGAATAAAAAGTCTTAATCCCATCCTCCTTGCTATCAGAGAGCTATCTGCGTAAGAACAGTTACCAAAGGGCATTTGTGCTAGTGTTCCGCCAGCTCAATCTGATATCAGATTATCACATGATGTAATTATTTCTATTTAAGGTATTTGGCCTGACCTAAAAGCGCCTGTTTAAAATCCAATTATAGTCGGTACTATATTCTTGAGTCGTATATTGTGTCCGGCATATAACTAGGCAGCATGTTCTCTGGAATTTCTGTACATTATAGAACATTTTTTATTGCGACGCGTATGAAACCGCGGGCTTACGGGTCTTAAGTTTCCTGTAAAAAATTGTTAGCTTTTCATACTGTTATATTTTTTGTCTTTCTGGTGAAAAGACATGCATATAATCTACCAGTCCAGAATTACATTAAGGCCCCTTTATAGGCGATGTTTGTCTGTTTATGATTGGAATTTCGGTTTTTGCACTTTAGAAGTATTATATCGTCGTAGATAGACTGGATGTCAAACCCAGATGTCTCTTGCCCTACTTTGTCCCCGATAGTTAACACTAGATATACGGATGTTTAGTATATATCTACTTTTGCGGAAGTGAACCAATTTGACTAATACCAGAAAATTTAAGATTTTTGTGGAGAAACCCCCTGCAGACAATAGTAATACGTAACCCGATGGAGAATCATAGGGAGAAAACAAGAGAAGAGAAACGTATATTCAGAAAAAATAGAAAGAAGAAGAAAAACGTGAGCGTGAGCAAATCGAGATGTACAGGAGTCAGAATGAAGTCCGGAAATTTTACCAACGAGTAAAACACCAAATCGAAGGCCTTGGTGCAGGCACATAGATATGAAGATTGAAACCTGGTGACAGATACAGATAGCGTATTGAGGATCTGGAAGGAGCATTTGAAAAGATTCTGGTATCAGATAGTAGCGGTGAAGAGGATACCCCATAACCAATAATAGATGACGGTATAGAGTGTATACCACCTAGCCAAGATGAAGTCAGAATAGCAATCAATCGGCTGAAAAATAATAAAGCAGCAGGTGCCGGTGGGTTACCAGCCGAACTATTCAAGACGGGTAGTCAGGTGCTGGTAAGGGGCATGCACCAGCTGAGTGGTATGCCCAATGATTGGAACCTCAGCATCCTGTGTCCCGTGCACAAAAAAGGAGACAGGACGATATGTGCCAACTATAGAGGAATAAGGTTCCTTCCCATCGCATATAAAGTGCTATCCAGGGTGCTGTGTGAACGACTGAAGCCAATGGACCATACCAATGCGGCTTTAGACCTGCAAATCCACCATTGACCAGATTTTCACTCTGCGCAAGATCCTGGAAAAGACCCATGATTCAGCGACTATAAAGCCGCATTCGATAGCCCTATCCGTTCAGAGTTATTTAAAGCCATGTTTGCGTTCGACATTCATGCAAAAATATTACGGCTATGCAAGGTAACTTTGAGTGGCACAAGGTCAGCGGTTAAAGTCGGAAAGCACTTCTCGGAGCCCTTTAATACCGAACAAGGATTCAGACAAGGTATCATCCTGCTGGAAATGGCCATACGAGGTGCAAATGTGAACAGTACACCAAAAAGCTTATGTTACTCGCCTACTCCGACGACATAGACGTAATGGGTCGAACATGGCGAGTGGTAACAGCCACCTTTGAACGAATTGAGAAGAAGTCTGCCAAAGTGGGATTCGTAGAAAAATGGCGAGAAGACCAAGCTGATGGTATCAACGCTCAAGACGTGTAGTAGACTTGGATCAACTGTGGAACTTGAAAACTACAGCTTCGATGTAGTGAACGATTTTATATACCTCGGTACCAGGGATGGTCCGTGTGACGAATTTTTAGGTTTTCGACTGTCAAAAAGGTGTAAACGTCAAAAACTTGTATAAAATGTAATAAATGTAGTAAAGGTCATTTATTTCAATATTATCAGCATATAAAGGTATTTTCAAGAATATATATTATTTTTACATATAACTGACTATTCGTTGGTAGAACTGATAAAAATTTCTAAATTTCTTTGAGAAGAAATTTTTCAATTTTTTTTTATGGATTTGAGTAAAGCATGCGTAATTTTCAAATTGATTAATGGAAATAGCTATTTTGTCAAAAACCTAATGGATTTGGCTAGGTTTCCGACGTTTCTGACGTATGTATTATACGTCGGAAATGTATGTCATTTACGTCACTGTTTCTGACAGGCCATCTCTGCTCGGTACCGCCATAAAGAAAACTAATAACATGAGCTTTGAAATCCGGATGAGAATAGTGTCGACCAACAGATGGTACTACAGTCTGAGTAAGCAAGGCCAGACCAAACTCGACGCTGATATTATCCGTGCTGTTATATGGATCTGAAGCATGGGTACTTGCGGAAGGTGAATATCATCGTCGAACGAACCATGAGGAAGGCCACGAATCCGATGTAAAGATCAAGTACAAGACAACATCTCGGAACATTGTCTTTCAAATTGGATTAAATGCGCACAAGACCGACGCGCTTGGAAATCTTTTTTAAGCTCAGCTTATGGAACAATCGTTCTGTCACAAGCCAGTTAAGTAAGTACTCTTAGGGCTGAAAAAGGCATGTAAAGGCCTTTGGAGATTGTTGGTTCGAAAGGAGTTGCCTATTTAACCCAAACTTTGGATATCGTCATATTTTATTCAACCCTAAATCAATTTCGAAGTTCGAGAATATCACCCAGTCCTTCTAATACTTCCTATACAAATCGTCAAATTTATGATGAATATAAATGTATAATATCCTGGGACAGGAAAATTCGTTGCATGATTTTTAAAATTAATTTTATTTTTAAAATTAATTTTAAAAGTTTTAAATATATAGTTATCAAATTTGAAATGAATCAAATTCAGTCTGAAAATCCAGTTTTAATTTAGTTTTTACTCGATCAAGCACCATTCTCAAAAAAAACACGTTTCACACTTTACGAAAATTAGCGTTAAATCATTACCACCACCATCGCTGTCACAACTACCGTTTATTATGACAGATGGGCCTCTCTCTCTAATTCAGGTTTAACATTATCATGTTTATAAAACGACAAACAGACAACCAGTCATAACGTGGCGTTATTAAATTTTCATTACGTCTATTTGGTCATTGTTTTGTGGATTATGATTCGTGAAAAATGTCCTTCAAACAAAACGATTTTTGAACTTGTACGAGAGTGTGAATGAGTGAGCGAGTGTGTGTGTCAGAGTATTCCCCTTGACAAAATGAAAATGTCGCAGGTCAATTTGTTGCATTGTAAGTGGCATGTTTAACATGACATCGAACAAAATTGGCATACATACCAGAAAGTGAAAGTTGCCAACAATCCATTGCGGACAAGTCATACTGATTATTAGGCATTGGAGTCGTGACCCATGCGTTATCAACAAATTAAAAAGATCGAGTATATTTTGAAGAATATTTGTTTACCGTTCTTCCTATGAGAGGGATATTAAATTAATGTAAAAAAATGTCTGGTTTAATTATTTTATAATTTTATTCATGTTAGGGCGAATATCATTGTATGATTTTATTTAGTTTTTCTATTTCGAATAGAGTTATCGTTTTTGGTTTGTTTCGTTTCGTTTTCCCATTGGACCCACTTTTGTGTTGTCATGTGTAGTGTTTTAGAATTCAATTCCCCCGAACCTAATTCCCCTATTTTAATTAACTACGCCTCTGCCGCCGTGATTGCTGTTTAATTTCACGACTAACACAAGTGTCCAAGAAAAAAAGGAAAAAATAAACGCTGACAACAATCTGCACATTTTAATTATTCCGTTATTTTTTCTATTTTTTTGGGTGAGGTATATTTTTATTATTAATTGCTCAAACGTGACAATAACACGTTTCAGACAACTATTTACCAATGAGATTGAACGGAAAGGACAAGTGGTTATGCGCCGCATCACATCACAGCATTGCCACATGTCCACGCCATAGAAATCGTTCGATGTTCAACAATTAAGGACTGTTTCGAACGCCGAGAAAATACATTATTTGGCATACTAATAAT